TTCGTATAAATTTTATTTCATATAAAATGTCTAAAAATTTTATATATCCAGAGCAAATATATGGCAACATAAAATGCCTCCCACAAACGCGCAAGAAAATTATTGCACTAATAAAATCGATCGTATTTTACGAAATTTAATCCTGTGATACCAAAAATTTTGTTTGCAGGTTGCAGTTCCTTCCATAATTCGAAGCTAAATTAATACTTACTATAAATGCGTTATTCAGTGTTACATAAAATATACTATATAGTATACTACAGTATACTACCAAAATTAAAAAACTAATGATAATTAAAAAATTCGAATATTTAAATATATAATATTTAATCATATTTTATCATATTAAATCATACTAAATTAAATTATATCAGATTAAAATTATGTATAATGGTGTATAGTAAAATGAATAAATACTACATACATAGAAAGCACCATGTGGTTTGATCGCATACTGCCTGGATGATATGCGAGAAAAGGTTGAGAACCGCTGTTATGAAGGGTTAACATTTATTAAAATTCTTTGCGCGCTATATAGAATACTTTATTATCACAAGTAACGTTTCATAAGAACACCTAATCCGAGAGATCTCATTTAAAATATTCATTGAAAGAAACTTCTGTATCTCGGCGTGGAAAATGTAATGAAAGCACGAAAGATCGCGGCGAAAATCTCACCACGCAATTCCGCCGACTATAATCTCTGGCTATTAAGATCGTTTTAGCGGTATCCGTGCAGTTGTGGCACGCCGAGTCGTACTGTGGCGCAGAGCGCGGCAAAACCGACATGCATCGTGGCTGTGTTTATAACGCTGATGGATCTTCTAATGCACTTAGAACACCGTTTACGCGGTCGACCATAAGTGCAGCCTGTGCGAACACTTATAAAAGCGAACGCGGTATGTGAAATTATTTATCTTCCTCGAAGTATGGATAGATTAATTGACGAGCTAAAACACGACCACTCAACGACGAACGTTCGCGGTGCCGATTAGTGTATAGAACGACATCTGTCGGTTTTCTGTAATGTTATTTCATAGATGGCACCTCGATGCGTATTTAGAAGGAGTAAATATAACCTGTCAGTATTCGAAGGTCCACGTGCAGTAATGTGTTTAATACTCCTTGTCAATGTCCTTAATTTTGAATCGTACGAGTGAGAGAATTTTATGTAACGTTATTACAGTGTCGTTGTTGAATTAATAATGTGAGAGATACTATATTGAATAAGACAGAAAATATAAGTGTGCAAAATTACAAGTTGTTGAAGATTCGAAATATTTCCAGGAGAATTTTTATAAATGCCCTGAAATGGATCTGAATGAAGACGAATTGAGGTAAATTAGTAATATGACAAAAGTAATTTAGATTATGTGAACTTGATTTACAAAGTGATTTATGTAATTTAAAAATTGGCAAAATGTTCACAAGATAACGAATAGGTTATTATATGTATAAAATAGTACCAATTATATTTAAGGGTCTTCCACACCTGTTTGGTACTTAAAATCAAAATGTTCTTTGTAAATTTCACATTTTTGTTTTATAAGAAATTTATGTAATTTAAAAGTTGGCAAAATGTTCATAGGATAATGAATAGGTTATTATATGTATAAAATAGTACCAATTATATTTAAGGGTCTTCCACACCTGTTTGGTATTTAAAATCAAAATATTCTTTGTACATTTCACATTTTTGTTTCATATGTATGTATTGCAGAATTAACACAAAGTTTAACAAAAGTGATCTTAATATTTTTAGGCTCGTTTTTATTGAACTAAATTATGAAAACTTCACAAAATATGTAATTTATCAACTGTCACAGTAATTGCAATCAGTTTTTGGTTCATATCAGGTACAGTATTTTTAAAATTAAACGTCAATGATAATCGAGGAATAAATATAAGGAATTTAAACACAGGCTAAAAAGCACGGAACTTTTCTGGTATTTGACGCATTAATATCAAAAGGATTTTCAGCATTGTAGTACAATTGTATAATATTCCAACAATCGGTTTTTTGTTTCCAAGATTTCTGCAAGTAACTAATTGATAAGAAGACATTTCCTTCGAGGAAGTGACCTGGTTTTGCCTTTCTAACCTCTCTTTCGACGTCTTCCAGCTTTAATCCTTTTCATTTCTAGCTGCTTTCCTCGCTTGCTTCCCGATCTCTGGCTCTCTCGCTCTTTCTCTTTCTTTATCTCTCTCTCCCTCTCGCGAATTTCCGCGAAATATACCTGAGCTAGCACGGTAAAGTTAGTCCCTTTGAAATCCTTTTGAAGTGCAGGAAAACCACGCCGACGACGTCTTTTATCTTAGCCCTGCACCACGTCCAGCAACTACGAAAGTAGCTGGACGTTGGAATATTAATATTTCGAAATCGTCTGAGGGTAAGGTCGTGTCTCGACTGTGTGCACTTCTTTTCAAGGTTCATACTGTAGTTGCATCTGTATACACGTGAAGCGATGTGACGCGCATAAATAGCTGGAATTTAGAATACGTAATCGTTCCTATTCTGACGAAACGCATGTTAATGTATGCCCTAGTTAGGGGTTTTGTACTCTTTTATTATATGGAATATTTGAATATCGTGAGTATATAGTACAGTACGGTATTTTATATTCAATTCTATAACGTTCAATAGCAATATATTGAAGGGATTTTTAGAAAGGTATATAGGTTAGGATAGTACAATATAAAAGGTGTTCAAATATTGTTATTTAGGATTAAAGGGATTTTTAGAAAGGTGTTTAGGTTAGGATAGTACAATATAAAAGGTGTTCAAATATTGTTAATAAAGATTGAAGGAATTTTTAGAGAAGTGTATATGTGTATAGGTTATAGGAATATAAAAAGTGTTCAAATATTGTTATTTAGGATTGAAGGAATTTTTAGAGAGGTGTATAGGTTAGGATACTATAATACAAAAGATGTTCAAATATTGTTACTTAGTATTTTAAATGTTATTAACATATTTAACGATTTTAAATATTAGTTAATCATTCAAGAATTTGGATATTATTATTTAGTCATGTTTTGTATATGAATCTATGTAATAAATTGATCAATTATATTTTAGGAACTGAAAACATGGTTATATGGAACTGAAATAAAGGTTCTTTTTTATTACTTGTTGATTGAAATATTTTTAAGGAAAGGTATCCTTTAATTACTTTAGTAATGTTCAATATTTAGTGTATCTATAATAATTGATACCTAGCACAAAGAATATAGGGATTTAATATAAAATGGAATATGAAAAGGGAGCATATTTTTTTCAATCGAGACTATTTTTGCTCTACTTGCTTTTTTATTCTGACAGCTAATGAGGAGCCATCATATTCAGTATTAATTGAACGGACATGTACCATAGGAGAAACTGAATAGAGAAATGAGTGACCATTAATTGCCAGCCATTAACTACTAGTATTTCAGTTGTATTATATTAATTGATTTGCAAACTTAAATCTATATTAATGATAAATTAAATCAAATTTCATTAAAAATTCATCAAGGCTTTAATCTCTTAGCAATGATGACTTTGACTGACTAAATATTATATTATACTACTTGCAGTAGTAATCTACATTATTAAAATTATATCTAAAATTAAGATAATTTTTAAAAACTGAAACATTAAGCAACTATTCTCATTAGCAATATATTAATTACTATTTTATAAAAGTATAATTTTACAAAATAAAATATAATTCAATTTTTATTTACAACAAAACATAAAACAGGCCAAAAAAGAAAGACACATGAAATTCATAGTTTTTTAATATTATAATAATAACAATAACAAAAATATTTTTCCCATTTATTTCAATTTTATTTCAAAAAATTATTTTTCTCGGATCCAAACACTTTTCATAAAATATTACATAAATTATCTTTACACGTTTATGGTGATTAAATCACAAGATACAGGAGTGTTCACTATCTTTTCAAGTAACAGACTCAGATGTTTGCATTCTCAAGTAACAGACATATGTACACCAATCATTCCACGAAATGAAAATCACACCAATTATGTCAAATGATCGCTACGTTAATCGATGATCAAGACAATCGTGCAATAAAATTACATACTGAAATAAAAAGAGAGATAAAACGAAGGTTGTCATATGGGACAAATTATGTACGTCATAAATCGCATGTTTACCTGCAGAAGATGCAAATCCATTCCGGAGTGCGGCGCAGCAACAGGAAATAACGCAACCCCATGGTCGATCGTGATTGGTTGTACCGGTTTGTAGGAATCGAGATCGAGATGATAGTCGTTCTCGTCACATTCTTCGGCCATGTAGGTTTGCTCAATCGCAGTTGTATGAATGCTCAGCGTGCGATGGAGCGAACCAGTTGTCGCGTCTCTGCCTCGGGCATGTCGATGCTGCAAGCAAACATCATTAATTTTTAACAATTTAAAGTATTTTGGTATCATCGGATATAAATATAACACGCTGCATCGAATTATCTACCAAATGAAATTTACATCTAGGTGAACTAATTTATTTTTTACTCTTGCGTAAAATGTTACAATATAAAATTGTAATACTCGTGATATTATGTGTATAAATTAATGCGTAGAAATATATATGAAATTATAAATAAATTACATATATATATACATATTCAAATTTTGTAAATAATTTATAATAAAATATCTATTTTTATTGTTTATAATTATAATAGAATGTGTTATAATTAATTAAGAAAATAAAGAGTAATAGTTTCTGTATGATTATTTTGTTTCAATTTTTGTCTGTAAGTATATAAATAATAATATATAATAATAATTTCGCGCGTGTGTACAATGTATACGAAATTATAATATGAAATCAATATAAAAATTTGATTTCATAATATCACCGTCATCGACATATATTAAGCTCATAATATTTATTAAAACAAATATTGGGAACCAATTTATATAAAAGTTTTGCATTCAAAGAGCTGTCCAAAATTAATTGGGTACTCGTAATTAACGAAGAGTAGATTTCGATATTTTTATTTGATCATTCGGTACCCTATATTTCGTTCCTTCTACGTTTCATTTTAAGGTAGGAATCTTTGATAATGGCGGAAATAACTTGGAATAATTAATTAAATTAGCTCATTGTTCTGAATAAAACATGTCGAATTATTTTGAACTTTAATATCAATTTGGCTTTTTGTTTACTGTATCGATTAAAATACATTTCCAAATTAAATTATTTTGTCATAAAGCCAGTATAATAAATTTTATTTGTTTTTATTTCATTCATTATGTCAATATCGATACTTCTTCTGTGCTTATAATATTTCTGTTTTATTTAAAAATTTTATATTGTGTACAACTGAATCACAAATTATTTCTAAATTTTGTTATTCTAATAAGAGAAAATGTTTCACTTTTTACCTTACTGCTATCATTAATATTACTTATTACCATCACTATTATTATCTGTGTATAACTAAATTACAAGTTGTTTCTAAATTTTGTTATTCTAATAAGAAAAAATGTGTCACTTTTTTTCTTACTGCTGTCATTACTTTTACTTATTATCATCATTATTATTATCTGTGTATAACTAAATTACAAATTGTTTCTAAATTTTGTTATTCGAAAACTTTACATTTCTCTATTATCATCACTATTATTATCTGTGTATAACTAAATTACAAATTGTTTCTAAATTTTGTTATTCTAAAACTTTACATTTTTTATGTAATTATATTCTAGCTATTATATATATCTATATATATAATAAGAAAAAATGTTTCACTTTTTATCTTACTGTTATTATTACTATTACTTATTACCATCATTATTATTATCTGTGACTATTATATGTATTTTTCTATACTGTTTGACAGTATTCTCTTCCCTCCTGTATAACACAAAGTGTTATGTAATAATATAATTATTGCTATTATTAAAGGGAAACATGTATACTATTTCGAAGAAAGGAAACGTTAATTAACTTCAACAGTTAAGCTCTCAACTTTCAATTTAACGTTATTCCAATTAATTTGAAATTAATTCCACGAAATTGTGTTTCGAGAAGAATGGGGAGACGAAAGCGTGGGTTGAACTTGGCGCAATTATCAGCGCCTATGTGTTGACGTCGTGTGACGTCGAGATGTCGCGTCAGATCGATCGAGGAAAAAAGGACGATCAACGACTTCTGTGCGTCGCTTCTCTTCCATTTCATCAGTGTGCATGGTTAGTTCAGAATACTTCGCAATATGCCATTTAACGTGAATGCTTTATACACTTGTGGCACATTATTCGATTTAATAGAATTACAACTTAACAGGAATTTAATACAACTTTAATACAATTCATAACCTCAAAAAATTGAACATGTCTTTACACGCATTGCACATATTATTTTGATAAGAGAAGATGGGGAATTTAGTTAAAACTTTAATGAAACAGCGAAATAATATAATGCGATAATATATAATCAAAACTTGCTATGTTTGATAGCTATTGCACGCGAAATGATCGTTTACATTCCTGTAGCTCTTAAGAGTATTGTTGTGGCGGTAATACAGAAGGTTAGACGTGCATTACCGTTCTTCTAGTAGATTAAGCAATATAATTAACACGAAAGCGCAGAACACGTACAATCCTATAACCTACAATCAGACCCAACAGATTGGACTCACGTGTGATTGATCCATCAAAGAGACAAATAGATCTCTACCCATAAATTGCTGTATTGACGACCAAACTATACCGAAAGTCAACTTCCTTGATCGTTTCCCACTTTTCAACCAAAGGTCTTTCTGAGACACCCATGTCCAATCAAAACCTCTATTTTTCCTCTACTAACATCCACTCTTAACCAATCAAAATGAACACGAGAAGACATTACAGAAGTCATACAGGACTCGAAGAGAATACATCAGAAGTCATATAGAACTCGAGGAAAACACATCAGAAGTCATATAGAACTTGAAGAAAACACATCAGAGATCATACAGAACTCGAAAAGTGTTGGGTCCCGAGCACTGCAACTCGCAGGGTGGAAGTTTCATGGGGTTGTAAGGCCCATTTACGCAGATGCGACAATGTTGCTGGGATGTGGCCTACTCTAAATTAGCACTATGCCATCCAGTGGCACCACGTTGGTATCATGCGCAAATGATGAGTCAGTCCTACCGGTGCCAAACAAAAGAATCCCGATTAGACGTGCATAGTGTTAATAGAGCTAGACCTGGTTAGGGTTGAACAAAAGAGATCTGATGTGTGACTGTCTCTCGTGCCGAGTTAATCGTCGTGGGTCTTGGCTGATAGTCAGATCGTGATGCTTGTCCTGTTTTCGTGAGATTTTTAGGAGATCTCTCCTCGTGACTTCTGTCTCGGTGGTTTTATAAGTTTTGTCTATCTACTGATTGGTTGGTGTGAAATGTACATGATGGATGTGTGTCTTCCTATTGGTAGTGAATAATATTGGGGGTGTGTGATAGTTTCGATGTCTTTCTGTGGTGGTGAAAGTTTAAATAATTTGGGTCCTTATGTCTATCGCCTTAAGGCTGATATATTGGTCCTTGCTAAGGTTTACCGAAGTAGTGACTTGGGTAAGTGACGACAAGTGTATACAAATCAAGGGATGCAATAGGGATATAAAGTCCTCCACTTAATCTGGGACGTTCGGTCTTGGGAGACGCAACAAAGAGAACACATCAGAAGCAAAACAGAACTCAGCATAGGAATTTTCGGGTATGGTATTGTAGAATACCAAAAGAAATCGCGAATCGGCTATTGCCAACAAAAACAAATTGTAAACCGATCGATATCTTCTAGAAGCAAATCGAAAAGTTATTCTATATAACAAAATTAAGTTGCGTGACTCCTCTACGGGGAGGTGAAGCGTAGGTTAAGGAAAGCATAAAAGCGTGGTCCTTGACAACCAAAACAGAGTCCTTAGAAATCGGTTGTGACCAGCACAAGCGTGAGTCGCTTGGTGTTGGAAAGAGAGTTTTAAAAGAGTGCGTCTTTGCGCGTTTTCGTTATCTTGGTGTTCTTTC